ACGAAGTAGGACAATCCATGAGAAAACTGTCATCGATTTCGAGTCGCCTGAAAAAGGATCTGCTATTCATGGAAACAAAGACATCGATGTTTTTTTTTCAAAAAGAGGCCTGCGGAGTTCTTCTCTAGATGGAATGTAGCGTTTATTGTGGACTGATGGATTTTTTTTAGCCAAATTAGCAACAATTTGACCTTACTTTCTTGGTTAATGTCATGGTCAAATAGAGACAAGATAGGCACTTCGTCTGCGAAATACCACAAATGCTGGCAAAACTTCTGTATAGCCGCTTTTGATATAGTTTTGTCGACCATTTCGTATGCCTTCATAGCCTTCAAAAAGCTCAAGTCCTGGTAGGGCGCTTTTACCGCTTAAGTGCACTGCAGCCAAGGCTTGACATAGGATGTCGCAATAAACAAGCAGACGTTTAATATAGCTGTTTTATCCTTATTTGACATTTTGAATTGAGAGCTAAATAACGATATTTTTAATGAATAAATAGCTCTCGCCATCCATCTAGCTTGGTGCATTTTTTTTTATTTTATAACACAGGGGACAAACGAGCATGCGGCTCACCTGATGGTAAGTGATTACCGCCGCCCATGAGCACCCGCAACACCAGGGGAATTGCAAGTAGGTTGTCGGCCTTTTGAAAAGGAATAAGCTCTTTTCTTGAAGGTTTCAATATCGTATCGGTTCGGAAATACCATTGCTGGAAGATGTGATTCCATAATGTGGTTGTGCGGGGCAAAAAGTTTCTAGAAAACCGTACTGTGGAAGACCGCCATTCATCCAGATGATCAGGATGGTATTTCAGTTTCTGGCGGGTGGTACGGTGTTGAAACTCAGCAGCTGGTATTAATCCGAACAATTCCTCAGAACACTCCTCGTGATATATGCGGTAGAAAATGCACAGAGATGCAATATCTCGCCGCAAAGCCAATAGGTCGAGTCTGTCACATAGACGTTGATTACCAATGATTCTGGCTGCTCGGTTCTGAATGCGGTCAAATGGAAGTAGCTGGTATTGTGGTGCTCCCGCCAAGAGATGAGAAGCGTATTCCATATGCGGCCGGATCTGCGCCTTATATAATTAAATTTATTTATATTAATTGGTGCATGGTGCCTGGAGGCCGAATTTTTAATTTATTATCTGTATCTCCGCCAAGAAATATTATGCAGAGCACTATTAACTCTCGATAGACATCTCTTACAATTTCTTTGGTCAATTCATTTCTGTAATACTCTAAAAGTTCATCAATTTTAGAATCGTTTAGGCGTAATAGCGTTTCATTGTGGCTTTGTATCTTCTCTACATTGATATTTTTCCAATTTGGTCGAAAATTTTTGAATAAAAGAATATCGGGATTTAGTCGGTATACGTGCCTTTTCCCAATAAATAATACATTCACGAATAGTAAGATTTGCACTTTCATTGACACTTAAATTGACTTTGCGAATATTATAAAATAAAACCGCCAGCACTTGTCCATTAGAAGGAAGTTTAGAACCTGTAATTTGATGTTTTACATCCCCGACCAAAAATATTTCTTTTTTAGAACTGCGTAACTCCACAGACATGTTGACACAACGAAAACAATGCGTTCACTAATAAAAACAAACACGATGTAACAAGCACATTCACACTTACATAGCGCCGCCGCGCGCCGTACTATGCAAGTTCTGAAAAGTTTCGATGCAAGTCGGCACGGGTTACCGTGATTCAATTTATGCGAAATTTTATTTATAAGTGTTTTGACATCATTTAAACAAAATTAGAGGGTATGCATTGAAAAAATAAAACTTTAATTTTTCTGGGACACCCTAATGTACATATATTACATGTATTTTCTAAAACAGTACACTATGACTTAAGTACTTAGTTATATGAATGTACTATTTAATGTATAGATGCTTAAACTTAAAATGTATATTACAGCGTTGTCTCCAGAATGTACGTGTTAACATGTGTATGTAAATAAATGACTTATTACATATATAGTAGGAATAGATAACAATAAACTGATGCAATTATTATAAAAAGTATTTTAACAGTCGAATTAAATAAATTATTTAATTTAAAAATAAAATAATACCAAAATTACTGGGCAGAGCGCGAAGCGCGGAGCGATCTTAGAGATCACTCCTTGTAACAATACCCTTTAGAAACGGATTGACCGATCGAGATCAGAACTTCATAGAAGGTCGACCATCGTTTACCTTTCAAAAAATCGGTCAAGTTCGAGTTTTTAAGAATAAACGCGCTCCGCTAAACATGTGTCCTGGTGTGGAAACAACACACCGGTAACAAACCTACTTTAAACTGACCATTGTAACGTTGTTTAAATATAACAATAGAAAGATATATAGTATATTAATAGATATAACAGATAAGATCAGAAATGAATTTAATGACATAGTCACTTATATAAAGCAGTAAAGTAATGCTTGTAGTTGTGGAAAGTTATAGTTGTTGTAGACAAACATTGTCAAATTTGCAACATTACTATGTATTATGATTTGTAAGTACCATAGTTCTTATTTATATAAAGGTAGCCAGTCCAATCGCACTGTTGTTTAATTCTCCGTATAGTTTTGAATTTTAGAAACGTTTTTCTCATATTTTAGCTTCGATTTGTTTTCTCTCCACATCTTTCTAATTTCACTCTGTTCAGTCGGTGTGTAATCTTTAATTGTTTTTATGAGACCCTCTTCTTTCTTTTTCTTATATCTTTCCCTTTCTTGCTTTCTTCTCTCTTCTATTGCTAGTTGGTCCATTTTTGCTCGAGAGCGACGCATGCTAAGTGTTCGTTGTTCACGCTTGCGCTGCTTTCTTTGTTCTTCTGAAAGGCACATTTTAGGTATTCGCCGTATGAATAAAGTAACTGGAACAAACATACAGTATAATGAGTAACTAATTCATATCTAGAAAAATTTCTTATGACTACAACTAATAACAATTTCGCCAAAGTCATAGCTTCCCACAGTTATATATTATGAATCTATATTAGGAAATTTAAAACAAATTTAAGACTGTCCGCAATTATCGCACCTTTTACACGTAGTGTCTTCATTTCGCGTATATATAAAAAGAAATATTAACTATACAATTAAAAATAAGTGATATTCTATTAGTTTGGTTACTAGGTATTTTTAAACTGAGGTAAAAAGAAACTACAATCACTGAAAGAGACAAACACATAAATATTTATTTACGTATGCAATAAATTAAAGACTTGAACATTGACATACATGCTTATATAATTAGATTCATAACAATTCCAGATTCCAGGACAAAAATACTATAAAGTTGTTTATATGATTATCATGAGAAAAATGAATTATGAAAATATCGCGTCTAATCTTTTTCAATACTTTAACGTATTATTAAAGGAGTAAGGGAATACGACCCGTATTTCTAATGTAATAGGACCTCACGTTGAAAATTTTTTATGAGTTTTACAATAGATAATAAATAGTTTTATAATTAGAATAACAATTTCTCCGTTGCTACGTAAAGATTACATATGTACTATTAATTAATTAATAGATATTTAATTTCAATTCTATTGATATATTGCTATATACTAGTATCTCTAATATACAATAGACAAGAAAGTTTGAATTACGATTTTTTTAACGATTTACATGATTTTTTTCAAGGTGTACAAAAGTTTAATAGGAGCACACAATAAAAGATAAACACACAGAAAAACAGATACACCAACACACACCACACACACACCAATAGAAGAACAGCCTAAAAACAATTGATCGCAAATGCTGTTGAAATAAACAACGTTTTAGCTATTTGTTAACACAATCGCAAACAATAATCGAAGATCACATATTTAATTTATCTATTCGAAATTAGCCATCAGGTTACACGACGGCGAGACATTAAATTTAAAATCGTTACTTCTTAACATATTAAAACCGAACTTCTTCTTCTGTCTGTTATCTGGTAAAAGATGCGTGTGGATGTTCTTCACGTAGACTACTTTGTCCATAACAGTGTGGAGAAGAGCCCTGCACCCCACGCTGTGGTGGGTGGAACACCGCCAAAACTCCTTAAATTTCGCCTTACAATTCGTTTTACTAAATCGATAACCCTCTACTTCAATCAACCGGTTACCTCGTATGGATGTCACGTAACTATATTTTGGCACTGTAATATAAAATCATTATTCTTATTAACAGTATAAAATATTAAATTCATTAATATTACAATTATTAAACTAGTACTTCTGTACGAGTATTATTAACTGTAATTTATCATGCTATATTCTACTGATCTAAATAAATAAGCACTACTTTAAATCGAATATATCTTATAAATAATTTTTATTAATGGTACTAATAGTAATAAAATACAATTTTCATAAGTTTAATATTTATTCAAAATGATTATCTTCTTTCAATTAATAAAGTAAATAATTAATTATTATAAACATAAATTAAACCGACTAGTAATCATTTGAAATAAAATAACGCTTGTTATTTTGAATATATGAACATAATATATCTATAAGATTACTTTTTTTTATTATTTCAGTGCTATATGTTTACTTGTAATCAACTTTATAAGTTATAAGTCTACTCCTAAATTACAAAACCGACCGATACTAGTCTTATTTTTTATTTATTAGATTATACATTATAAATATAAATTATGATTATGGTTATGGTAACATTAACATGTATGTAACTTATATCTAAATTGCTTCAGATCTTTGTGAGCGATTGATGGACGATGCTTATGACCAACAGTCGACAAAGTACGCTGAAAATTCTGATTACTGTAATATAGGGTATATAAGATATAATTAGGTGGCGGGTACTTTTAAGGCAATATGTGAGATGGGAGCCAGTCCGGAATATACGCTTGACGGATAAGCTTGGTTTTATTACACCTCATACATACGGATACGAACATTACAGTGGACGACGAGGATTCTTAATTTTTATTATAATTTACAAGTATAAATAATAGTGTATAAAAAGTTGAGTGAAAAAAAAAAAGAAAAAATAACTACAATGTCGATCGGAAGAGTAAGCGAGTTCGATATTAGAACTGGGGCGTGGTCGTCATATATAGAAAGACTTGAGATGTATTTTACGGCCAACAGTGTAAAAAACGATCTCAAACTACCAACATTAATAGCAGTCATAGGGGATGAAGCTTACGAACTCCTGGTGAATTTAGCTAGTCCAAGGAAACCGTCGGAATTGGAATACGAAGTTGCGGTCAACCTACTGCGCGATCACCTACAACCGGCACCGTCGGCATTAGCAGAGAGATTTCGATTCAGGCAGAGAAGACAAGCAGCAGATGAGAACATCGCAAGTTACGTGGCGGAATTGAAAAAGTTAACACGTCATTGCAAACTAGGGGATAACCTAAATGAGAACCTTCGAGATCAGTTCGTGTGTGGGCTGAAGAGCGACATCATTCGACAGCGGCTTTTTGCAGAGGATGAAGAACTAAATTTCGCCCACGCGGTCAAAATTGCAACCTCTTTAGAGGCAGCGGAGCGGAACGCGGCGGCGGTGGATATCGCGGACGCGGCGAGCGGCGGGGAAACGATCGCGGGGACGGGGGGAATACACTCCCTAGTGGCCACGAACGAGCGACGGCAAGCGGCGGAGACACGGAGCGGGCGCGGGGCGCGCGGATACCGTATTCGTGGCACGGGCGCTGTCTGGAGTGGAGCGCGCGGCGCGCGCGCCACTATCACGCCTCGGGGAAGAAATGCGGCACGGGCAGACAGCGGAAAAAGGCGCGACTGCATTGGATGCGGTGCGGACGACCACAATTATGAAAACTGTCGCTTTCGAGAATACGTTTGCAGTAAGTGCCACCGCACCGGTCACTTGCGACGGGTGTGTCCGAGGCAGAGCACACAAAACCAGCGATATGGCTATGCGGCCTTGCACTATGGAGATACAGCGGAGGAGGGCTGGGAAACGACCGATTCGATGCAGGAGGACTTGCATCATTTATGTCTAAACGACTACAAGGCTGTGAGTATACCGATATCTATTGAAGATAAAATTGTAAATATGGAAATCGATACCGGTACCGCGGTGTCTTGTATTAGTGGGGAAACATATAGACAGTATTTTGATTATATTAAAATAAAACCGAGTAATATTGGATTAAATTTTTACGATGGCTCATCCGTTAAGCCTTTAGGTATAATAGAAGTAAATGTATTTTATAATAATAAAAAAAAAATATTGGAATTATTTGTTATCGAAGGAGCTTCAATCTCATTATTAGGTAGGCAATGGCTGACAGAGTTGGGCATAGTGATACCTAAATTCACTAATTGTAATAAAATAAGTAACGAGCACCTTCGATTAGATCATGAGTTTAAAAAACTGTTTAACAGATATGAGAAGCTGTTCAGTGGCGGACTGGGGCGGTACACGGGCGGCAAGGCTACGTTGAGGGTGCGCGATGGCGTGGCGCCGGTGTTCCATCGCGCGCGACCGTTGCCGTACGCGCTGCGCGAGCGGGTCGATGCAGAGCTCGACGCGATGCTGCGCGACGGTGTCATCGAGCCCGTCGACTGCTCCGACTGGGCCTCGCCATTGGTGCCGGTAAATAAATCGGATGGTTCTTTGAGAATATGCGCTGATTATAAAGCAACCGTAAATCCTGTGTTACTTGTAGATCGTTATCCTTTACCAAGAATAGAGGATTTAATTGTTCGATTAAGCGGATCCCAATTTTATTCAAAAATTGATTTATCGCAGGCGTATAACCAGATCGAGCTGGATGAGACCAAAATGTATACAGTTATAAACACACATCGCGGGTTATACCGGTATAATAGGTTAGTATATGGGTTAGCGTCGAGCGCAGGCATTTTTCAACGCATTATGTGTAGTTTACTGAGTGATATTCCCAACGTCGAGATATTCTTAGACGATGTTCTCATAGGTGGTAGGAATAGAGCTGAGCACCTACAGGCAGTGGAGGCAGTTTTTAGTAGATTAGATAAATATGGTTTTAAATTAAAAACGAGTAAATGTGTTTTTTAGTGAAAGAAGTAAGTTATTTAGGATTTGTATTGAGCAAGGACGGAATAAAAACGGACCCGGATAAAATCCAGGCTATCACAAAAATACCACGCCCAGAGTGTGTGACCGAATTACGTTCCTTTTTAGGATTAATTAATTTTTACGCCAAATTTGTAAGGAATATGAGTTCTAGATTGGTACCTTTATACGATTTATTAAAAAAACATAAATCGTGGTATTGGTCGAGGGAATGTGAACGAGCCTTTATAGAAGTAAAGAATTTATTAGTTAGCGCTGAGGTATTAGCGCACTACGACCCGAAGCGACCGCTAGTAGTCACATGCGATGCGAGCGCGAGGGGCGTGGGGGCCGTACTCTCACAACCGAGGGAGGACGGACGCGGCGAGCGACCGATAGCTTACGCTTCGCGTACACTGAATGACGCGGAGAAGAATTACTCACAGATCCATAGGGAAGCCTTAGCTATTATATTTTCTGTTAATAAATTTCATCAATATTTGTACGGCCGACATTTCGTATTGCGTACCGACCATAAGCCTTTGGTATCGATTTTTGGGCCACATACGGGAATACCGACTATGGTAGCCAGCCGTATGCAACGGTGGGCGATAATTTTATCTGCCTACACATTTGATATAGAATACGTACGCACAGACGAGAACGGGGCGGACGGCTTGTCACGGTTGCCAATATCAGCTAGTAAACCAATGACTCGAATGACGCCCGAGCAAACATATTTACATTTTGTGCAGCAAGCTCTGCTATTAGATTACAATGAAATTAAAAATCAAACCTCTAGGGACCCCATACTATCAAAAATATTAAGTTATATACGAGACGGCTGGCCAATAGATTGCGCGATGACGAATTTGAAACCTTATTATAATCGTAAAAATGAATTATACGAGGAATTAGGTTGCGTTATGTGGGGGCATAGACTGGTGGTGCCAGATTCTTGTAAAGAGAAAATATTATTAATGATTCATGAACCCCACATGGGGATTGTCAAATCCAAGTCCTTAGCCCGCAGCTATGTGTGGTGGGCGGGCCTGGATGAAGCGGTGGAACGAATATGTAAACAGTGCGAGGTATGCGCTGCGAATGCAGACGCGCCACCGAGACAAGTACCTCGCATGTGGCCGTGGCCTAATAAGCCGTGGTCCAGACTGCACCTAGATTTCATGGGCCCTATGTTAGGGCAAACATATTTAGTGGTAGTAGATGCAACATCTAAATGGATGGAAATAATTAGGGTATCGAGCACGGCGGCAACGGGAGTAATAGATAAAGTTAGTGAACTATTTAGTAGGTTCGGACTGCCTAAACAAATTGTCACGGATAATGGACCACCCTTTACAAGCTCAGAATTTAAAAATTTTACTAGTAGTCAGGGGATTGAACATATTTTTACGGCTCCATACCACCCGGCCTCAAATGGATTAGCCGAAAACGCAGTTAAAACATTAAAAAAAGTAATTAAAAAGGCGGTTGTAGAGAAACAAAACATAAATAAAGCACTTTGGACGTATTTGTTATACTATAGAAATACCGAACATTCGACAACCGGGGAATGCCCAGCGGTTATACTATTAGGCCGTCGACTACGCACTAGATTAGATGTTATAAAACCAGACAGGGAGAGTAAAGTTTACAAAGCTCAGCAGAAACAAAGAGAATCAATTAAGGGGACAAGTAGAAAGATGCAGGTAGACGATGAGGTATGGTATAGGCAATTCATGAGGGGTGAGAAGTGGGCCCCGGGTCAAGTTATCGATCGTTTAGGTCCGAACAATTACAAAGTAAGGAACCGAGAAGGTGATGTGATTCATAGACATATGGATCAATTAAAAAAGAGATCCTCTAGAATTTCCCTATCATCTTACCCGTTGAAGGAAATAGATAAAAGAATCAGTGCAAATTCTAACTCAGAACCACCGATGACAGATCGGTCACCGGGCGGGATTCAGCCGGAACAGGCGGCGGCGGAACGGTCAGATTTAACGCCGATAAACGTGGAAACGGTAGAAATGGATGAAACAGAAATTCCGAAGTCACCGGAGTATCTGGACGCCTGTCCAGATATGGTATTGCCTAGTACGAATGCACCACCGCCGCCCCGAGTCCGCCCAAAGAGATTATGTAGAATTAAGAATCTAGATAGTATTAAGTTTTAGTATAAGTAACCTTGTCAAATTATAATTGTTAATTAAGTAGTATAAGTTAGAGTAAGTGTTAATTGGTGTGGAAGAGTGTAATATAGGGTATATAAGATATAATTAGGTGGCGGGTACTTTTAAGGCAATATGTGAGATGGGAGCCAGTCCGGAATATACGCTTGACGGATAAGCTTGGTTTTATTACACCTCATACATACGGATACGAACATTACAATTACCATCAGATTTTATTTTTTTGGTGGTGGGAGATGATTGTGAACATTCTTAACGACGATTACTTGATTATCTATAGTACACAATAATGCTCTACACCCATTACTATGATGAGTAGAACATCTCCAGCTCTCTTTGCTCGTACCGGGTGCATATCTCTTTCTCTTAGTAAAACGGTAACCTTCGATAACAATCAAAACGTTACCTCTTAGAGATTTCACAAATTTGTAACTTGGAACTGAAATAAATAAAAGTATTGTTAGATTACTGAACACGTGACCGAATTAGTATATCATTGATTGATCAAATATGTGAGGTTAGAATACTACTAGTCTACTACAGCAGTAGTAGACTAGTAGTATACTAACTATAGTAATACTAATACATACTACATATCTACTTAGGTGGGCTAGCGCCATCGGGGTTGCGAAAGCCTGTATTTATTACGGATAAACGTACTTGGTAACATGTTTTACCAAATACGCGAGCAGTATTTCCCATAACCCTAATAAAAAGTGAAGAGAAGGAACACCTTGGAGTTTTTAGCCAGTAAAAGTCCGGTAGTACCTACCTCACCCAGGCCGGGCGGGAATCCATGAAGATTTTCACCATGTTAAAAGAAAAGTATATCGAGGTCTACATACATATAAATTATGTGTGAGTTAAATCCTCATAAAGACCCGCTCGCCCCAACGCCTAAAATCTTATCCAACTTAATTTGTTGAGTCTCTTTGATTACCGCAACTTCCCTTGTATCATGTTTTAGAATCCTTATTTTTACACCCGCCAATAGCCCAAACCCCTAAAAAAAAGGCGCCTCCATTTTCTATAATTTTATTATAATATTCCATCCTAAAAAAAAGCCGCTTGGCGGCTGGAATAGATATGGCAGACCGCGCAACTATGTACTTTTATACAAATCAAAACTCATTTATTCATATAGGACATTTTAGCCGATTCTGAATGTCAATTTTTTTTTAATATTACTTTCCCTTCTGTCCATATATTCCATTTACATTACCGTCAGCTTTGTCTAAAAAAAATTTATTGTAGAATCGAGTAATTGTACTGACATAATACGGTACCTTTCCGACATTATTCCATTGAATCTAAACACAACACAAAAATCGTGTACATACAACAGATTCAATAACAATGTTTTTTTAATTAAATTACCATTGGGCAAGCAGTCGTTTATATAATACACATATATAATAGTACTAAAATTTATTGGAATAATAGACACTTGTATTCTATGATACATATATCATAGAATACAAGTTAAATATCATGTAGTGGCTAGTTAAAGTGGATTGCCCCAAAATTGCTTTTAAATTCTGATCTGTATGAGAAACATCATTATTATGGTAATTAATTAAATATTAGGCATTTTTTTATATTATTCAGAATATGGAATTATATTATTTTCTTAGAATACTATACGGTTTAAATAAAATATCACGAACTAACTGATTAAAGTTCATTGCACCTATTTAATTAAAATTCGATTCTCTATGAGAAATAGCATAATTATGGTCATTCATTAAGTATATTAGGCAAGTGTTTACATTAGATACATTATTTTAGTAGAATATGGATTTATATTGCTGTCTTAGAATACTGTTTAAATAAAATATCGCAAACTGACTAATTAAAGTTTATTGCACCTATTTAATTCAAATTCGATTCTCTATGAGAAATAATATGATTATAGTCATTCATTAAGTATATTAGGAAATTGTTTACATTAGGTACATTATTTTAGTAGAATATGGAATTATGTTATATTCTTTGAATACGGTTTGAATAAAATATCAAGAACTGACTAATTAAACTTGATTGCAACAATTTAATTAAAATTCGATTCTCTATGAGAAATAGCATGATTATGGCAATTCTTTACATATACTAGGCAATTGTTTACAGTTAGTGCTATAGCTCTGCAGCCTCTATTGTTGTGAGTGGAACATCTCCAGCGATCTTGAGATATGCCCATCTTTTCCGCTGCTTGATAATTCCTTTTGCAAAACCTATAACCTCCAACCGATAGAATTAACTTTCCCTTTTTACTTTGAATAAAGTGATACGGAGTTGTATCTGAAACAAAGGTAAACATTTATTCTAGTGCGAATATGTATAATGAAAACAATACCACATGTGTATTGTTTTGATGTGGAAGCCAAGGTTGCTATTTTTTTTATTTCAGAAGCAAATAATTATATAAAAAAATATATACCTACAACTTAAAAGTTTCTGACTGTAAAATAAAGAAAGACACTATATACAGAAATATTAACAAAATAAAATAATGAAAAAATATATTAATATTTGTCAAATCATTTCGTCAACTAGACAA